TGAAACGGGCCGTTTCAATTCGAAACGGGCTACCCGTTGAAGATTCAAATCGAAGATTCCCAGAAAGAGTTCCTGGGAATCTTCAATCTTCAATCTTCGGTTTGGGGTCCCGATTCAAATTGAATCGGGCCGTTTCAATTTGAAACGGGCCAGCCTGTTCAGATTGCGCGTTTAGGTTAATTACAACACTATATAGGGTTTCGGGGCTTCTCTGTAAAACGCTAAGCCCGGGACCTTTAAACCTTAACCCTATAGGGTTTGAATCTGATGTGTTTCAGTTTAATTGCAGGCTTAGGTTGAAAATCATTTGTCTTAAACTCTAAACCTTTAAACCTTAACCCTATAAAGTTTCCAGGTTGCAGGTTTCGGTTTAATTACACGTCAAGGGTTAAATACCAATATCTTAAACCCTAGACCTTGAATTAACCCATAAAGTTTAAGGGTTTCGGTGTATTGGCAGGTCAAGGTTTAAATGCCTATATCTTAAACCCTAAACCTTTAAATCTTAAACCTACAGGGTTTAAAGGTTAAAGAATTAGGCTTATTTGTTTCATCCTAAGGGTTTCGGGGCTTTTCTTTAAAACCCTAAACCCTGGATCGATAGGGGTTTAGAGTGCCTATATCTTAAACCCTATACCTTTAAACCTTAACCCTGCAAGGGTTAAAGGTTTCGCGTTTCCGTTGAGTTGTAGGTCAAGGTTTACATGTCTAAACTTAATCCTAAACCTTTAAACCTTAACCCTATAGGGTGTTTAAAGGTCCAGGGTTGAGGTTTAATTGCTTAACCCTACGTTAACACCCTAAACCCTGGACCGATAGGGTTTTGGAGAATAAGCCTGACAACACCCTTAAACAAACGCAGAACGCGCAGCGGAGTGAAGTAGAGGGGAGGGGGGGGGGAGGGGGGTGGTGGGGAGTGTTTTTTGGTCCTGCTTATTTTGGAAGACCGACCCCTGGCACCCTCTCCCCTTTTAATTAGAAGCAAACTAAGTCCTTATAAGCAAATTTGTTGTGTTGTGGAGATTGAGTACACAGATTACATGCCAACTCATACATATAAAGCCGATACACAGTATGAATATGCATGTGAGTATTGCAACATTACGACGACTTCAATCTTTAGTTTGAGGGTCGATTCAAAACTGAATCGGCCGATTCAAGTTTGAATCGGACATATTTCATCATTATATTGGATCCCGCTCTTTAGGACTTTTTGGCGAGCAGGATTTAGGGAATAGGCGCTGAAGTGGGGAGCATCCCAAAGCTTAGTTCCCAAATCCTATTTTCTAAGGGAGCCCAAACCTTATCGCTAAGGCTTTAGCGTTAGCGAGAAGATTTATTGAGCAAGGTGGGCTTTTGTATGAGTTAGGGGGGGGGGTCTCATTTTTGGGGTTTTAAGGCTATTTTTTAGGTTCCCTCTTTAGGATTTGGTGACTCCCTCCCACCCCCCCTTCCCCAATAGGATTTAGGGAGTAAAATTAAGAGAATAAGATTGAGGGATCCTTCTTTGTTGACTTTAGCGATAAGATCTACTGAGCAAGGTTCTTTGTTTTATGATGTAGAAGGAGAGGCTCATTTTTAAGATTTACAGTAAGGATCCCCCTCTTTAGGACACCCCTCTTTAAGGCTTAAGCAATAGGATTTAGAGAGTAAAACTAAGGGAATGCTTTTTAGGATTTAGGGGACCTCCTCTTTAGGATTTAGCCCCCCCCCCCTTTAGGCGGCCTTAGCGAGTTAATTTCAGGGAACCAGATCTAGGGATCCCGATAAGATTTTATCCGAGCATCTGTTTAATTGGTGGGACCCCCGGCCCACCGCAATAAGTAAGAAAGGCAGGGCACTGCAATAATGAGACCATGGCAATGTATGCATTCTCTATTAAGCACATTAGGAATATATTGTAGTTTCGACGATCCAGACTGCAGCTCAGAAATCAAAAACGAAGCCTGCAGACAGATTTTTGAACACCCCCGGAAAATATTCTTTCAATGTGGCGTATTTCCCCATACGGAAACCCCCGTAATGGAAAGCAGTCTCACAGCCGGATTTTCGACGAAAAATGTTTCTTTAAATGTGGAGGTAGCAATTCTCTTTTAGAATGCAGCCGCTCTCCTCTTCAGAAGTTCAAGACTTCCCTCTTAAGGGCTTTTAAAATCATGGGAATATGATTTAGGGACCCCGCTCTTTAGGATTTAGCGAGAAGACTTAGTGAGCCATTTAGTGACCCACCGCCCCCCCGCCCGTCCGCCCCAGATTTAGGGGCTCTGGGAATATGATTTAGGGAATACGATGTAGGGATCCCGTGCTTTCGGACCTAGCGAGCAGGATTTTGGGAACAGGCTGCATTTTTTCGGAAATAGGGGTTTATGCAATAGAAAATTGTGCGAATAAGGTTAAATCCGTCTCAATTTTAAAGCGTTTTGATGTCACGCAAGTGTAGAAAATTAGAAAACGGTAGGTTTTGGAGGGGGGGGTAGCATATATATATATACACACATATACATATACATATACATATACACATATACACATATACACATATACACATATACACATATACACATATACACATATACACATACATACATATATATATATATACATACATACATACATACATACATATATATATATGCGTTATTACCTCTGTATTTTCTAGATTCCATATTCTTTGAGCCAAGGAAGGGAGCCAGGCCTGGCCATGACGCACCCAGTGGACGAGCTTGGCACCCTGAGCACCAAGGTAGGGCTTTTAGGGTTCAGGGTTTAGGGTTTAGGGTTTAGGGTTTGGGGTTTAGGGTTCGGGGTTTAGGGTTTGGGGTTTAGGGTCTAGGGTTTCGGGATTGTGGAAATTGTACAGGGTTTGGGCCCCAATCACGAAACGAGTTGAACGAAACGTTTTGAACCAGACCTTCTGGACGAAATTCTTTTTCAACCAAGTTCAGCTTAGACTTTGTCTTCATCTTGGAGAAAGTCTCCATCTCACGCCAAAGCATGCGGCCCTTGAAGCCTTCCAGGACGAATTGGGGGTTCCTGGAGCCCCTTCCAAGCCTTGTAAAATCTCTCTCCAGCTTGTGTAGACAAGTAACTTTGTCAATTCAGAAAGGTGTGTTGCCTTAAGTGAACTGAATATTGGCTTTGATTCATTTGAGCTCGGCTTGTCAGCTGTTTTTTAGACAAACAACCTGAGAAATTCATGTCTATGTGTTTTAGGTTTAGGGTTTAGGATTTAGGGTCCCCTTCAGCCACCCAAACAGCTTACGGCGTTGGAGCTCTAGGAGTTTTGGAGCGCTAGACACGAAACCACCGACCCTCAAAAAACAAAAAACCATTCCCCCCCCCCCCCCGCTCCCGCCCCCCCTTCCACCCTAAACCCCCTTAACCCCCCCTGACCCCCCTTGGCCCCCCGTTGCACCCCGAAAGCCCCCAACCCCCCCTAAACCCTAAACCCTACGAGGGCCTCCGGCACTGGCATGCCCGGATCCCAGCGCTCCGCCGAGATGGCCGAAGGCGCGACGAAGCGCCTCGCCGCCTCCTCTGGAGGCGTGGGAAGTCAGGGTTCAGGAGAGGGTTTAGGGTTTGAGGTTTAGTGTTTAAAGTTGAGGGTTTAGGGTTTAGGATTTGGGGGGGGTTAGGGGTTCAGGGGGTTAGGGGGGGAGTTAGGGGGGGGTTTAGTAAGGGGAGGCGGGGTTCATGGGTAGCTTTAGATTGAGATCTCATGCTCCTTCTCACACCAACAAGCAGTGAGAACTCTCCAAGGGCCCCATCCACTGTCTCGGTAAAGTTTAGGGTTTAGGGTTCAGGGTTTAGGGTTTAGGGTGTAGATGGGCTGTTGGGTGTGGTCTAGGCCAGGCTACGCGTAATTCCTGAGTAAAAACTGCAAAAAAAGAATCCCGAAACCCCTACACCTTAACCCCTACACCCTTCAACCCAAGACCCCAAAACCCAACCCCCTCAACCCTGAATCCACTCAACCCTAGACCCCAAAACTCCAAACCCCCCCACCCCTCCCAAACCCGATACACACAAACCCCGAACGCCAAGTATCAAACCCTAAACCTCAAACCGCGCGAAGGGTTTGATAGGGTTTCTTTGAGTGCCTTCCAATTCCTAAGCCTCACAAACCCGAAGCCTTAAGCTCTAAAAACCCTGATCCCCAAACCCCACAAACCCTTAACCCCAAACCCTACGATGACCTAAACCCCAAACCCCCAAACCCCAAACCCTAAACCCTAAACCCCACAAAGCAGGGTCTGCTCGTCACTTGGGCGCCTCTGCCAGCGCCAGGTGTTCCGCATGGCAGGCCGCGCGCAGTGCTTCCGAGGCCATGGCGAGCTGGTGATTTGTTTGAGAGGTGGGGGTTTAGGGCTTAGGGCTTAGGGCTTAGGGCTTAGGGCTTAGGGCTTAGGGCTTAGGGCTTAGGGTTTAGGGTTTAGGGTTTAGGGTTTAGGGTTTAGGGTTTAGGGTTTAGGGTTTAGGGTTTAGGGTTTAGGGTTTAGGGTTTAGGTTTAGGGTTTCAGGGTTAGGATATAAGGCTTCTGGCTAGGGTGTTTGGGACGACTGCATGTGCCGGAAAGCACGGTGTGGGCCAACGTTCTTCGGGGCACAAGGCTCCGTCAGCTCGGGAATGGGGTGCAAGCCAGCAGTCACGAGCACCACGGGATTGCCGTCGGGAACTTCAACCAAGTTCACTCTCTCTACCATGGTACACTGATTAACGTTCCAAAGTAAACCCTAAACCCTAAACCCCAAACCCTAAATCCTAAACCCCAAACCCTCAACCCTGAACCCCACAAAACCCCCCAACACTCCCTTATGAAACCCTTTACTCCTCAAACGGCAATCCAGACCACTGGGAGGTTGATGGGTGCTTATCAGTAGGGTCACAAGTACCCTAAGAAAGGTTACAATCAGAGTTACCCTTCTTATCTCCCCCGAATACCCATGCACCTCCGAACAGGCGTCAGAAAAAGCACAACACTTAAACCTGCCGGACTTGCCCTCACAGCCATGAACGCGAAGGCCGCATTGGAGACAAAGGTTCCTGCGGAGTGGCAGGGTTTAGGGTTTAAGGGTTCAGGGGTTTAGGGCTTAAGGGCTCAGGGTTTGAGGGTGTAGGCGTTTCGGGTTGAGGGTTGAATGGCTCAATGGTTGAGTTGGCTTAAGGGTTTAAGGGTTTAAGAGTTTTAGGGTTTCTTTGGTATATAGGGTTCAGGGTTTAGGGTTGGCGGCAATGTGCCCTAAACCCTAAACCCTAAACCCTAAACCCCAAACCCTAAACCCTAAACCCTAAACCGTGGCTCCATGCCCTCCCTCCAAGACCCAGGCCCAGTAGCAGCATCTGGGACAGGGAGGAAGCCGAGCCGGCGCCCTGCAAAGAGAGGTGCGTCCGAATGTTCCCTGGTTGGCTTAGGGTCACCCTAAACGCTAAACCCTAAACCCTAAACCCTAAACCCTAAACTCCCCTAATCACCTTTCAAGATCAGGGGCTCCTATCTCCCGAAAGCTTGGGGCTTCCTAACGAAGCGACCATGCCAAGGAAGACCATGTACGTACACCAACCCTACCCAACCCCGAAACCCCAAACCCTAACTCGTCCCCGTTTCAGCAAGGAATTGAACGGTATAGCCCCTAAATGCTACCAACCCAATAAACTCTCCAAACCCTCTAAACCCAAAACAACCCGCAAACCCTAAAAAGCCCTATAAAACCCCATAAGCCCCATAAACCCCTACCCTATAAGCCCTAAACCCTAGCCTTAAACCCAAAACCCTGAACCGACGAATCCTATGGAAATTGGGCTCAGGGTTTAGGGTTTAGGGTTTAGGGTTTAGGGTTTAGGGGTTTAGGGGTTTAGGGGTTAGGGTTTAGGGGTTAGGGGCTAGGGGTTAGGGGTTAGGGGTTAGGGTTTAGGGCCTGCGCAGAGAGGAGTGCCAGCGAGCCCACCAGCAGCACGCCTCGGGGATGAAGGGACTCGGGAAGCTGGGAGATTGAGGTTTAGGGTTTAAGGTTTAGAGTTTAGGGTTTAGGGTTTAGGGCTTCGGGCTTAGGGCTTAGGGCTTAGGGTTTAGGATGGGAAGTTGATCTTTGCTTGGGCGAGGGGCTGAGAGTGTTCCGGAGGCACTCAACTGGTCCAGCCATCGCGGGAGCTCATTTTGTCGAGTGTGCAAAACGATGGTGTTGCCTTGCATCTGTCTGCTATGCAGGCAGGCCCATTGTGAACTGTTCGCTAACACGTTTGTACAGCGGACCCGGTATGTCTCCACACCGGGCCTAATAAAACCAAACCTCCCTTGGCTGCACAGATCTCCAGCGGCTTTGCCGCTGCAAGCCCAAACGGCGTGGTCTGCGCAAGAAGATGGGAGACACTTCGCCCCTGCAATCCTACATCCTCGGCGGGTGAAAATTCTGTCCCCTGCCCCTGACTTCTTCCAAGGCTGGGCGCAGCTGTCAGGTCTGAACGGTCACAACCTCGTCGTAGTTCGGGCAGTCCGCATCACTCGGCGCTGTGCCACCCAGCACCTGAGAGCAAAACAAGGCGCGCCAGCAACAGGGTTGAGAGTTTAGGGTTTAGGGTTTAGGGTTTAGGGTTTAGGGTTTAGGGTTTAGGGTTTAGGATCTCAGCGTCGAATGCCCGGATGCCGCTTCGGAACCTTTGCCACGGTGTCAACCCAGCTTTTACCTGCCCCATTGCCTTGGCTTCCAGGAACATCCAGGGAGTGTGGTTTAGGGTCTTGGGTTCAGGGTTTAGGGTTTAGGGTTTAGGGTTTAGGGTTTAGGGTTTAAGGTTTAGGGCTTAGGGTTTAGGGTTTAGGGTTTAGGGCTTAGGGTTTCATTCTGCGCAGCTCTGGGAAACATGCACATACTCGAGCACTCACCTCAAACCCAGCGGCGTTTCTTGTGCAGGCACCACACTGGATACTGCTTCCACTGTGTTTCTTCAACTTTGGGCGTCGTTCCTATCCTCAGCACAAGGTGTCACCAGCCAGTGAATGAAGCGAATGAAAGAGCATTTTCAGCTTCTTCCTCGTGCTACACTGTGCTGCACAAGCGTCTGCGATGATCCGAGCTCATAGATACCGAAGTCCATTTGGTGGTCCTTTGTGCCTTTGAAGTACGACACCTGGAACTCGAAGACGGATACGCCTGGCCGCCACGAGAGAGTGAAGCAAAATAGATTGCTACATGTTTAGTAGTCATCCAAGAACTCGAAGGGCGGGTTTGCGATACTAGGGGGTACCTTATTGGGATCGTGATTCAAAGGGGATCCTACTTTTAGGGGTCCCCTGTTTTCGTTTTCCCCCAAGTGGAGTGGATGGATTTTCAAAGATTTTCCAAGGACGTTGGGGGCTTGGGAAGGGGGTGCGTTGCACCTGTCAGCTTGGCCCCGGCGCCATCGCAGCTGCTGCTGCTGCTCATCCACGTCGCGATCTTCTTGTAGTCCGCCTCGAAATCGCTCATCTTGCTCGTGGCCAAGGACTGATACCAGGCCTGGAAGCTACAGACAGCACGACGTGGGGCGGTGTCCTGAATTTGGGCTGTACCTTATTGGGGTTCTCATAAGGGGATATCCTACTACTCGGGGATCTAGATGGGAGGTCCCCGATGTTCGTAAACCCCGACAGGGACGGGCCTTGTACTCGCCAGCCCAGATTGGCAAACCTGAGAGTGCGGAGGCCTGCAAGGGCTGAAGCACCTGCTGGCAGATGACATCCTTGGTTGCTCGCACCTGTTCCTCTGCCTCCTCTACCTCCCCTGCCTCCTAAGTAGGAGGTTCATGGGTACTTAAGAGTAGGGTTAGAAGTAGTGTAGCTATCATTATAGCCTTACTTGGGATACTTACAACCCTACATGCAAGTACCCATGAACCTCCAAGTACCCACGCAGTGCCACTTGACCCTCGCCAGGGCTCCGTGGTGTCTTGCGTGTTGAAGCCCAGCAAGAACCGATGCTGTAAGGCCGCCCGCAGGTCGTGGTGCGGCACGTATCCGTAGAGGCGGGGCGAAAGCATCCCCTGCAAGGATTGGAGTATTCCAGAATAAGAACTAAAGTACTCTGGGCCTTGGGGGGAGAAGCCGCCCCCATCGCGGCGAAGCGCCCCAAAAAGCCCCAACAGCTGAAGGAAAGAAAGGCAAAAGTGTGGAAGCCCATCCGTGCACCTGACACACCATGTCAGCTCCCCTCCCTGATTCCAGAAGCACTAAACCCTAAACCCTAAATCCTAAACCCTAAGCCCGAAGCCCTAAGCCCTAAAACCACTTAATCTCCAGACCCTAAACACCCACCGAGCTCCCGAATCCTCCTCACCCTAATCAAACCCTAAACGCAATCACCCTAATGCAACCCTAAACGACCAAATTATATCCTAAACGCCCTCAGTAAACCTCCCCTGAACTCGAAACCCTTTCCCCAACCCTGAACCATAAACTCTAAAACCCCCCCCCTCTCCGGCCACGACGAAGTCGTACATGAAGCCCACAGATGCCAGGGTTCCCACCAGAGCCTGCCAGGGCTTTAGGGTTTTGGGGTTTAGTGTTTGGGGTGTGGGGTTTTAGGGTTTTAAGCGTCAGGGTTTAGGCTTGTAGGTTTAGGGTTTATATAGGGGTTTCACTATAGGGTTCTGGCTCAAAGGTAAGGGATTGAAGAGCGCTCAGGGATTCAAGGTCTCCTAAGCTTTGGGGGCCTTTCGCATTTCTATTGGCATTGTGGGGGGTTTGACGGTTTGCGGGTTTGGGGGGTTTGGGGGTTTGGGAGTTTTGGGGGTTTGGGGTGTTTGCGATGGAGAGGGTGAGCCCGAAAGCCCTACACCCTAAAACCCCCACACGGCCTAACCCCTGAACCCCAAATCCTCAATGCCTGTCACCCTAAACCCCAAACCCTAAACCCTAAACCCTAAACCCTAAACCCTAAACCCTAAACCCTAAACCCTAACCCACTCACTGAAAGATGCCCAAAAGCCAGGCCTGCCCCGCCCGGTTTCCTGGGCCGCAGTTGATGAGGTTACGGTTGGGTTGGGGTTTAGGGCCTACAGGGCTTTAAGGGTTAAGGGGGTGTAGGGTTTAGGGTTTAGGCTTTAAGGGGACCCTTAACGTGAGAATTGAGGGTTCGGGTTCAGAGGGCTAAGCCCCTTCAGGCCCCACGTTCTTTTCAACCCTTCATGTGAGAGGTTCCTGCTGTTGCGCGGCGAAACGCCCCCTTCAACCCACTCAACCCCAACCCCGATCCCCAAACCGTAAACCCAAACCCTAAACCTTAAAGCCTAAGGCCGAATCCCTAAACCCCAAACCCTGAACCCCAAACCCTAAACCCCAAACCCCAAACCTGAACCCCAAATCCTAAACCCCCAAGCCCAAAAAAGGGTGCCCAGGCCTGCAGTGTTGGACTTGCAGATCTCGCAGGTGGCAAAGGAGTGAACCTTTCCAAAAGCGACGGCCAGTTCCCTACATTGCGGGGGGGGGGGGGGGGGGCCTGTTGGAGTGCTTTTGAGATTTGGGCCTAGGGCTTAGGGCCCTGACTTTCGGGAGAGGAACCAACAACTCTTCAGGTTTTGAGTTTCGAGATTTGGACGTTGGGGCCGGGGTTGAGAACCTTTTGAAGGCTTTGAGGGCGGCTAAGAGCTTCTTGGGGCTCTGAAGGAATTAAGGCCTTGGGGCTGGGATGCTCCCCCTTATACTAACAGCCCTTGATAGGGATTAAAATAGGGTGTGCAACAATGCCGGTACTATAATGGGGTCATGCGGGTACTATACTCCCTATTAAGGACTGTTAGTGCAAGGGGGAACTTTTAGGGGTGGGTTCCGCTGGGCGCCGGACTACAGTGAAGGGCGGCAGTCGACCGTGGATTCGGAGGTCCTCCCCAGACTGACAGGTTTTAAAGGTTTACGGTTTGGAGGCTTCGGGTTTAGGGTTTCGGGTTTAGGGCTTTGGGTTTAGGGTTTAGGGTTTAGGGTTTAGGGTTTAGGGTTTAGGCTTTAGCGCAGTGCAGGCTTCCTACTTTGGCGGTTGTGGATGATGGCGCAAGGATGTGCGCGGCGTGCGGTCACACTCCCGGAAGCCTACCAACCGGGGGGTTTAGGGTGCAGGGTTGAGGGATCAGGGTTCAGGATATGGCCAGTTCTCTAAATCATGGCCCCTCTTTGGGTACCTTATGATAAGGACCCCAAAAGGGACCATATTTTCGAGAAGTGACCATATAGTATTTGGGGCCTTGGGGTTTAGATTGTGCTCGATAGTCCAAGTCCAAACATGCCTGCGCAAGTCGTGCGGCAGAGGCTGCGTCTTTGGAGCTGCCGGTTCTTTGTCAGCGGCCGCATGAGCAAGCGAAAGAATTACGGACGGAACGTCCCCTCCAGGAATCTCAGACATTGCACTTAGGCTGGGCGAGGAAACCCTTCACCGTTTGTCTTGCTCTTCAGTGGCGGAAGCGCTACGGCCACTATGGTTTTCAACCCATGACCCTACGTCAAAGACAAGAACACACAAGGGCTGTTAGAATGGCAGCGACTTGAGTATGTCCCAAAATAGGGAACCTCCCCGAATAGACCCAAAAGTATAGCAACTCTTACTATCGGAACCCCCAAAAAGGTTCCACCTGTTTTCGGAAATTCCTGGCCGGAGAACCTGTCCGTGCTTTCTCTCACCGACGGTGCTGAGGCCATTCCACGGCTTTGGAAGGCCGTCAAGAACATACACCGAAAACCCTAAACCCCAAACCCTAAACCTTAACCCTAAACCCTAAACCCTAAACCCGAAACCCTAAACCCTAACCCTAAACCCTAAACCCTAAACCCTAAACCCTAAAACCTAAACCGTAAACCCTAAACCCCAGACCCTAAGCCCCAAGTCCTAAGACCCCGCCTCTTGTGAGGACTTCCGGCCCCGCCTTAGGGCCCGGCGCCTCTTGCAGGGGCTTTCGGCGCCGACCGCCAGGTTCCAAACCATCTCCCAATCACTTTACGGTCCCCCCGTGCCTCTTGTACGTTGTAAGGATTTCAAGCCCCTAAATTCCCACCCTGCATAGGCCGTACCCACCCTATACTAGGGTGCCTGGACCCAGAATTATACCCGGCAGCGAAATACACCTTTACTGGATGGACAATGGGTTGAGCCATTGGAGAATGGTCGAATACAGCCCCTAGGGCTGAGCCTTGCTTTAGGACCATTCAAGTGGTGCCTTACATTTACAAAGGGAACCCCATGATCCTCCTCTTGATGGTCGACGTTTCCCTGGGGGGGTACCCCAGAGCCAAGCTCGTTTTGAACTGCGGCCCCTTCACCCATGCCCCCCCCCGCCCCTCCAGCCCCTCCAGCCCCTCCAGCCCCTCCAGCGCCTTCAGCCCCTCCAGCCCCTCCAGCCCCTCCACAGGAGCTTTGAATCGTTTCTCAAGGTGGGAATTGTGGGCGACAGCCCTAAACCCCAAAAGGCAGTGGTTTGGGTGGTGGCCTGTGAAAGCTCACAGCGGGCGGGGAAAAAGAAACCAACACCAATGAAAATTGTTGGGCTACATTGAATACAAGTGCCTTCGTGCGACATGCCGCCCCCCCACACCTCCTGGGTGTGTTGGGGCGCCATTTACACGTTGTCCTTACTGCCACTGCGCGGCGAGACGCCCTAAACCCTAAACCCTAAACCCAAAGCCCTAAACCCTAAACCCTAACCCTAAACCCTAAACCCTGTGCGTGCGCATAGGCAGCCGAGCTTGCACTCTCCCACCGAACTAAACTCCTCCAGTCCTGCTCCGCAGCTAGGGCGCCATCGATGGCCGAAAGGAGGGCCTTTGCATAGTACCTCTGTACAAGATCGACCCTAAACCCTAAACCCTAAACCCTAAACCCTAAACCCCCAAACCACTTAAAGATTGAGAGGTGGCTTGCGAGTTCTTGGGAGGGAACCTGATGAAGTTGGGGGAATGATGGTCCCTCTACAATCTACAGAAGTCCCTCTTTAAAAGCAGCACAAGGTAGAGGGAAAAGGGCCCGGGCTTGAGAAGTAGGGTGTTCAACGGAATCTAAACCCTAAACCCTAAACCCTAAACCCTAAACCCTAAACCCTAAACTCTTGTTAAAAAGCAGCAAAGGAGCCCTTGGCTCCAGGTCTCCTTTGCGATGGTCTCGTTGTACGTGATCTTCAGCTCGGGCTCGTTGATGAGGATAACGGCCTTCACGTTCTAAGGGTAGTTACATGGTCCCTTGGTATGGGCCCTTCAAAGGGTACCCATTCTATACCCCTTATATACCCTCTACGGATTAAGGGGCTACATTGGGGCTCAGGGATCAGGGCCCGAGGTCGTCGGAGCTTGAAGAAAGACGCGTGTGACGGAAAGATCTGCTGAGTGGTGATCGCTCCAAAGTGAACAGAGTGCAGGCCTTGACGCTCGGATGGTAGTACATGCGACCGTCGGAGTACTTTATGGCGAAGCCCTTTCGGAGCATGTCGGCATACTGCGACCTGCGCATTCGCACTTGCAGGTCATCTGCTGGACAAGAGACTCCCGGCTCGCACCCCTAAACCCTAAACCCTAAAGCCTGAACCCTGAACCCTGAACCCTGAACCCTAAACCACACCAGCCTCACTTCGCTGAAGCAGTCATAGGGCAATCCAGCTGCACATCTCCCACTCGGATCCTCACAGGGGCGCAAGGACCTCATGGGTTTCCCTACTAGGGTTTAGGGTTTAGGGTTCGGGTTTAGGGTTTAGGGTTTAGGGTTTCCGTACACCCCACCTCTATACTACTCTCAGGGTTCAGAGTTCAGGGTTCAGGGTTCAGGGTTTAGGGTTTAGGGTTTAGGGTTTAGGGTTCAGGGTTCAGGGTTCAGGGTTCAGGGTTCAGGGTTCAGGGTTTAGGGTTTAGGGTTTAGGGTTTAGTCCAGGGTTTAGGGTTGAGGATTTAGGGTTTAGGGTTTACGGCTACCCCCCCAGCATGCCCCCTGAAAGAGCTTACTTAGGCTTAACTGGCCTTAATTAAGCGGGAGGGGGGTAGTAGGGGAACCTATAGAGTACCCTTCAACAGGACAACCCCTGAGAATGAGGGGCCGAAGTCCTGCGTGTACGGATAGTCTGAAATGGCCTCGGAAGTGCTCGGAAAGGAGCAAGGTTTAGGAGCTTAGGGTTTAGGGCTTAGGGTCTAGCAGCACCAGTGCCACAGTGCCACAAACCCCCCAAATCCGAAAGCCGCCTTAATCAGCACAGGCCCAGTGGCCACCACCACGCCAAGGCCTAGCTTGTACGCTCGATCCAAGAAGTCCCTGTGGTTCAGGCGCGGGTCGTTGCCATAGAGCCGCAAGGCATCTACATTCCTTAGTTCCATGAGCAATTGGATTCCCAACTCCGGTTTGAGGTTCACTTGGCAGAAACTCAATCTTAGTACGGATTCCAAACGCAAGCGACACGGACGAGCGTGAATGATGCACCTGCCATCCTCCGCAAACTTCGACGGGGGCTTGCGCAGAGCGCAGGGGGCCGAGATCGTCTTGTACGTTACGGGCAGGACTAAGGGTGGTGCCCGCCGGGGCAAGACAGAAAGTGTGACATTCGAGCTGCGAAGAGAACAGTTCTGAGGATCGGTTTGAACCTAAGAAGAGTTTCGGGTTTAGGGTTTAGGGTTTCGGGTTTAGGGTTTAGGGTTTAGGGTAAACCTCCCGAAAGCCCAGTCAACCCTCTGAAGAGCGAAGATTCGGAGGAGTTTGAAACTAGGGGAACTAGATGGAACTAGACCAGGCACTCTCGCCCTTCTATCCTCATTGTGGCAGCTCAGGGCTTAGGATTCTTAGGGTTTTAGGGTTTTGATGTTTGGGGTTTAGGGTTTAGGGTTTTGGGTTTTGGGTTTTGGGCTACAATAACTCGGGATCCCAAGCCGAGATTCAGGGAGCGTATGACCTCCAGGTCCTTCCGCCCAGGGCTGCCCCAGAGGGGCTCGGCCCAGGTACCCATGTAGTCGTCCGTGTCGAAGTGCGTGATCTTCTTCGCGGGCGTGGGCGCGTAGCACCTCGCGCAGTGTCCAAACGGCTTAGGGTTTAGGGTTTAGGGTTCACAAGGGTTTAGGGTTTAGGGTTTAGGGTTTCGGGTTTAGGGCTTAGGGAAAAGCACAGGTTTCGGAGGGCAGTCAACGCAAGCAACGAGCCCGAAACCCTATATCCCCAGAAGCCCTAGGGAGAACACCCTGAGAAACCCTAACACGCCCGGAACCCTAAACCTTCAAAAACCCAAAAAACCCCGAAAGCCATCTAAGTCCTAAAACCCTCAACCTTAGAAGACTAAGCCCCAAGACCTGAGAACAACCCGCCCCCCACCCCCGCCCAAAGCAGCTGGGAGGCATGCTATGGAACGGAGTCACTGAGGCATTGGACGGGATTGGTGAGCCTCATGCGCCCAGGAGGCAAAGAGCACGCAACACAGAAGAGACGACAACTTGCCGTGCTTCCAAAGTCCTGTGCGGACCTTCACCCTAAATAGTACTTGAAGCTTCACGGGTACTTATGTGGTAGGGTGAAAAGTACCCCAAATCAGCTCATAACCATAGTTACCCCACTTAATAACCCCACTTACAAGTTCCCACGAACCTCTCCAGGTACGCACCTCTGCAGCTGAGAATCAGCACTGAAGCAGCACTCCGTCCGGATCGGGACAGCAGTTGCCCGTAAGGCCAGAGCCAGCACACTTCGCCTGAGCAGCGCTACGGGTTTTGGGTTTCGGGCTTCGGGTTAAGGGCTTAGGGATTATAGCTGTCCGGGTTTAGGGTTTATGGTTTAGGGCTTAGGGTTTAGGGTCTGGGCGCGAAGGATGGAGCAACACGCCATCGCCTACATGTTCGTTACAAGCTTTGGCGACAAAACATGGGGCCCGAAACCCTAAACCCTAAACCCTAAAAACCCTAAACCCTAAAAACCCAAAACCCTAAACCCTAAACCCTAAACCCTAAACCCTAAACTCAGACGGGCTTCGTGTGCCGTGCATTGTGGCTCGTAGGCCGGTACTGGAGACGGTGGCGGTGCCGGCGGAGGCATCGGCGTAGGACTCTTGCCACCAGGGGTATCCACAAACAGCCTCGGGTTTAGGGGTTGAGGTTTATGTGGTTTAGGGTTTAGGATTTCGGGTTTCGGGCTTGGGGTTCAGGATGTAGGGCTTGTAGGGGTTTGAGGATTGGGGCTGCACATCTCCGGAGTCATCCGGGCTTGTTGAGTCCGGAAGCATGACGCACGCGGTCAGCGCCAGTGCAGCCAGCGCCACGAAGCCGACGGAGATGCAGCTGCCGCAGCCCCGCGAGCGCTGGGCGGCCACCCACGAGGAGGTCGGAGATTGTCCGTTCATGGCACTTGGCAAAGAGGGGGGGGGCCAGCGCAAGCACCCGCAAGGGATCGGCGCTGCCTTCTGCGGAGCAGCTGCGCTTTGGGGGCGAGGGGGGTTGCAGGATGGGGCTGTTTGCATATCACAATCGGCGCGGGGATTCTTTCATGCACAGTATGGTAGTACGTAACAGTACAGGTCTGCACTCTGAGTTGTTGCATAATGTGCACTGCTGCACTTTTGCTTGAGCAGCACGAAGTTCGTCAGTTCGTCATGCGCAGTTCTCACGAAAAGACGTAGAAGACTTGGCAAGGATACTTAAAGATTCGCCCGAAACCCTGAAGCCGAAACCCCTCATGAGCCGAGGCAACCGACCGAGCAGCAAAGGGAGGCCCAGTGCCTCCACAGGGTTTGGTTTAGGGCTTAGAGTTTACGGTTTAGGGGGTTGTTTTAAGTTCGTTTGGGGTTTAGGGTTTAGGGTTTAGGGTTTAGGGTTTAGGGTTTAGGGTTTAGGGTGTAGGGTGTAGGGTGTAGGGTTTAGGGTTTAGGGTTTAGGGTTTAGGGTTTAGGGTTTAGGGGGCAGGGTTTAGCGTTTAGGGTTTAGGGTTTAGGGTTCTTTGACTAACCCAGCTGTGCAGCCCAACAGCCAGCAAGACAAAGACGACCAACTTCCGCTTCCGTTCCCTTCCGTTCCGTGGGCTCAGGGGTGGCCCATGGCCCCGCACCTCTGAAGATACAAACACAAACCTTCAGCTGTTGTGAAGAAGGGCTTCTATTGTGAATTGGGGTTCAGGGTCTGGGGTACAGAGCTTAGGGTCCTCAGTAATTCCCTGAGAGGGGGGGGTCCTTTTATAAGGGGACGCCCTGCGTTTATGATACTCATGTATGTAGCTAAACGGAGCCCTACCTCAGAACAAGATGAGGTGTCCCCAGTGAGTGCTCCAAGTGTCCCAGGCGATCCGAGCGACCCAAGCCCCGCAATGTTCCAAGCGCCCCAAGTGACCAAGTGAACCCTGAACCCTAAACCCTAAACCCCTACAATCGAGACCTCGAGGGCATCCCAAGAGCTGCGACCCAAGTGCCTCAAGTGGCCAAGTGTCTTACGTCTCCCAAGTGACCCAAGCGTCCCAAGTGATCTAGATGACACAAGTGTCCCAAGTGACCAAGTGCATGAGGCGTCCCCAGCGCCAGTGCCCCAAAGTGCTCCAAGTGTCCAGCAGCCACCCACCGAAAGTGTGGTGCCCAAGTGCTCCAGGCGACCCATGTGACGCGCTTGCATTTGGCACGCCCCAAACCCTCAACCCTAAACCCTAAACCCTCAACCCTAAACCCTTAAGCCCTATAAGCCCTAAACCCTAGGTCTGGTTGTGGGTTTGCGGGCAGGATCCGCGTGTGATTGGGATGAGCCCACGCCTGCTGCGTGTCGCTGACACTGTCCAGCTCCTTTGGGAACATGATTTGGGGCTTAGGGTTTAGGGTTTAGGGTTTAGGGTT